ACTCTTAGGCTACTCGTTTACCAACGAATAGTGGGATTGACCGTCACTTTATAACGCCCCCACGGCTGAAAGGGTGAGCATGTTTGGTGTGACGGGGATTCGAACCCGTGACCCTCAGATTGCGAGTCGAGTGCCCTAACCACATGGCCATGCCGGGCCATTTATGAATGAATATGCACACGTACAAGTAAAGCGTAGGTTAAACTGAACATAGTCTTACTTTCCTTTCACCTATGTAGATAATAGGTGACTGAAGAAAATACGATAAGAAAATCCAGACCGATCACTGAGAAATTCGCAAGCCAACAGCATGGTGGGGAATATGAAAACATTAAAGATTTCTAAAAAAGTAATTAGAAACCTTTCCCTAACTAGTTGAGGTTAAATTTACCTTCTAATGTTCCGCAGCAGCATTGTGCTAAATATTCTTTTCTAACTTTCCTCAGCGACATTGTTTGTTTCCGTCTAAATCTTCTTCTAACGACCCTAAACGACATTGCCTGCTTTAGGTTAAAACGACATTTTATCTTTCCTCGGTGATATTGCCTGTTTCAGGCTAAATTTCCCCTTCTGAAATTCCTCAGCTACACGTTTCAAGCTAAATCTTCCATTCTAATGTTCCTCGGCGATATTGCCTGTTTCAGGTTACATCTCTCGTTTTAACGTTCCTCAGCGACATTCACAGTTTCAGGCTAAATCTTCAGCCTTTCATTGGATGATTCTTCAAAATACTATTCCAAGTGAACTTAGGTCTCTCCGGTAATGGTGTTCTGAATTCGACTGGATCTAGATGGTCTCACTTAATATTTCACGTTAAATTAGGTACTTTCTTGTAATGATCTCTCCGATTAAATTAGATAGCCTCTTGTAATAATCTTCCCGGATAAATTAGATAGCGTCTTGTAATAATCTTCCAGAATAAGTTATATAATCTCTTGCAATAATCTTCCCGGATAAATTATATAATCTCTTGCAATAATCTTCCCAGATAAATTAAATAGCCTCTTCTAATTATCTTCCCGAATAAATTATATAATCTCTTGCAATAATCTTCCCGGATAAATTAGATAGCTTCTTCTAATTATCTTTCCGAATAAATTATATAATCTCTTGCAATAATCTTCCCGGATAAATTAGATAGCCTTCTGTAATGGTCTTTCCAGATAAATTAGCTTGTGTCTTGGGATAATAGTTATCTTTAAATTAGCCTTTAGAGATAATTAAAAATATATATTAGTAGTGTTCTGAAAGTTGATTTAGTTGTGTATTTTCCATATAATTTATCATTATTTTTTTAGTCTGTATTATTTTTATTTAACAAGAATGGCTTAATGATAATTGTAATAGAATTCAAATATACAATATGATAAGGAAAAACATAATTAATTTCTTTATTTACTATTCCTTATTTTGTTATTTAGGTTATGCAAACAAGCACTGCTTTTTAGTTGTTATACTAAATATGTTACTTTTTATTTAGATTTTTATCTATTTAGTGTATAAGAATAAATATTTATTTATTTTCACTTTTCCTAACTTGGGCTAAGTGTGACCAAGTGGCTAGTGAATCGGGCTACAAATGGTAAAGTTCAAGGACCGAGACGTAATACTAATCGTTCACATATGATTGCATTATAAATGTGACAGTCAATCACAATATGCAGTTCGAAACGTTTAACAAAACCATTACGGCAGCCGGTAATGCTGAATAGATGCTTTCGTTTTAGTCATTAGTTCAACATTAGGGACGATGTACCTATATTCCAGGGATTTCTGACGTAACCGTTTAGCCCAAATCGGCAAGGCGCTATTCATGTTCAAGTGTCAATCCCAAAACCATTCTTTCTGACTTCTTCTAATGGTTTTTATCTTTTCAGCACTTCCGTTGTCTTCTGATATTGGCTGCAGTACGCAAACCTGATCGGTTTTGTCTATCACTTTTTTTAGAACTACTAATAACCTGTATTTTAGAACTACTAACAACCTGTATTATAGAATTACTAATAACCTGTATTTTTGAACTATCAATAACCTGTATTATAGAACTACTTACAACCTGTATTATAGAATTACTAATAACCTGTATTTTTGAACTATCAATAACCTGTATTATAGAACTACTAATAACCTGTATTTTAGAACTACTAATAACCTGTATTATAGAACTACTAATAACCTGTATTTTGGAATTACTAATAACCTGTATTTTAGAACTACTAATAACCTGTATTATAGAACTACTAATAACCTGTATTTTAGAACTACTAATAACCTGTATTTTGGAACCACTAATAACTTGTATTATAGAACTACTAATAACCTGTATCGCATAATGGAAATATTAATGAAATCAATCTTATTATTTTTGATATAATTATTATGAGAATGTATTTCCTCACGATTCATGTTTTTTTTATTTTCGAGCAGCATAGGCACTTATATAAACAACACAATAATATATGGTGTGCATGTAACATATAACATCTGGTATCATATTGATTAACTATCTTAAGAAGATAACTACCATTGGAAAAGACACTGTGTTGAGACAACGAATTGGAAAAACTGAAAAAAACACCCTTCCCTAGGTGGCGTTAGATAAATAATATTCGTACTAGGAATGTTCTGATGCTTCTCTACTACTAATGAAAAAGAAATGAAGCTGCTGTGGGTTTTGTTGATGTAGCATGAGAAAGGAAGCCGAGTTTGATGTGGCGATCCTATTTATCCTACAGACAAAACACCTACAACACGCTTTAGGCGTCCGGATACATACACACACAAAAAAAATGTTTATACATGAAATGGTTCGTCTGCATGACGGGAGAAAATCGATTCCAACAGTCTTTGTACTGACTTGGATTACTTCCCCAACTCTCTTGTCTGATGTACTACGCTTCTTTTTATTCGTTGTTAGGTAATTCAAGTTAGTAGGTTGAAGTTGTGACGTTCCTGTAGAATAATTAGAGGCTTACATTTGTCAAGCACTTCGTTTGATACTTTAAGCAGAAACGAGGCACTTAGTGGAAATGCTATCTTTCATACTTATAGGTGACAAGTTCTCGCAGCACGAGAACACACACTTCGTTACCATGGCAACGTGGGACACTACTGAGAAGTGGACTTCTTATGACAGGAGCTGCGTTAATTGGAGGATTTCGGCTGAAACTGATGAGTTCTCAGCTGCCACAGTTCAACAGGTAAGGCCAATCCGTTTTTCAGCATAAGTGTAAAATTGCGACTGAAACTGATAGGTTCTCAGATGCCACAGTCCAGCAGGTAAAGCCAATCCACTTCCAATCAAACATGGAGGATTGCGACTCAAACTGAGAGGTTCTCAGCTGCCACAGTTCAACAGGTAAGGCCAATCCAATTTTCAGCATAAGTGTAAAATTGTGACTGAAACTGATAGGTTCTCAGATGCCACAGTCCAGCAGGTAAAGCCAATCCACTTCCAATCAAACATGGAGGATTGCGACTCAAACTGAGAGGTTCTCAGATGCCACAGTTCAACAGGTAAGGCCAATCCATTTCTCATCACACATATATCAGTAGCTGGTGAATGTGGTGATGGTTCCACAAGAGACAATTTCGGAAAGCATGAATGTAGCTAAGTAAGGTTCGATGAGTTTTTTTTTATGACTCAGAATTATAAAGAATTCAAAAGTTATGTGTGAAAATTTGACAATCCGTAAAAAGTTACTCTAATTCTTTTTCCCAGTGGCTCAGCGGTAAGTCTGAATGCTCATAACGCTAAAACCGGGTTTCGATACCCGTGGTGGGCACAGCACAGAAAGCTCATTGTGTAGACTTGTGCTTAACATTAAAACAAGCAAAAGTAAGTGTGATAGTTATAAATTCTGATTAAGAAGTTAGCACGCAGGATGTGATAGTTATAGTTGTGCTCAGAACTAAGATATTAAACACCTTGAGTAAATAAAGGAGCCCGCTATAGTGAATCGAATATTCTGTAAATATTATTGTACAATTCACCGAATATAAGTCCTACAAATTCTGATTAAGAAGTTAGCACGCAGGATGTGATAGTTATAGTTGTGCTCAGAACTAAGATATTAAACACCTTGTGTAAATAAAAGAGTCTGCTATAGTGAATCGAATATTCTGTAAATATTATTGTACAATTCACCGAATATAAGTCCTACAAATGAATATCTGAACAGGATTTTAAGAAGCCAGTTCAAATTTATCAGGTATTTATCTTTACTTTTCAACTTAATTGCCAACCAATGATTTATTGTAATATTCGTTAACATCCGACAATTATGACAACTTATAACCAAAACTAAAACACCAAAAAACTTAATTTGTGTATTTGATTTTATAGTCTTCTTCTCTAAGTTATCTACCAAGTGCAAGCTTTGTAAATCATAGTATCATATTATATACATTTAAAACTTCTGTCTTTATGTCTACTATAAACAGTTTCAATAGTAGAACCTTATGTGATATGATAAAGTGTTAATCTGTTTATAGACTAAATGACTGTTTTATCACAAGTTCTAGTCATCAGTTTCCTTTTCTTATGACCATCGGCTATGTTGCTGGATACATAAGTATTACGGCATCATATTCGCTTTTCTCCACTGTAAATCCGTCTACCAGATGAATAATTTGTTACCACGAAATTTATCTATTAGTAATTGTATGTTTTGTCAAGTAGAAATATGTCCTCTTCTTTATGTCACTTATCGCTTGTTCTTTGTTCTGTTTTAAGTAGAAATACATACACGTGTTTTATCAGCTTTTTTATTTATTTCAAACATAAAATTATACACGCGTTATTTTGTTGTCAAGAAGAAATATAACCACGTGTTTTTTGTGCTATCTGTTCTATTTCACGAAGAATTATATCTGTGTGTTTTTCAACTATCAGTTTTTATTTGTTTTGTTACCATCTAGAAATATATATATATTTGCTTTCATTTTCTTGCATCAGGAAGGGAATATACGTGGTTGCCTGCTACAATTTTATTGTTCGTTACGTGTTTGAGAATAAATTCTGACATATCGTTTATTTCTTTATATTACCTCAATATTTTGCTGACAGTTAATGAGGACGATGAACATATATAATAGGATTTAAAAATTCAAACGTAAAACATTATTGCACATTTTATTTCGCAAACTTGTAATGTAATACTGTCATTTTCTTTGAAGTTATTCTTGAACTACATGTGAAATACTTTAAAATGTACATATTTTCTTCGGCCTCTAAGACTCGACTAATTAAATACCTTATATGTTTTGAACTCTGTCAAACCGTTTCAAATTTCAGGTTTGACAATCCGGCTGCAGTTTCTCCTACCCCAACTCGCCAACTTACTTATAATTATCTTTTGTCACTAAACGCTTGGCTACTTCTTTATCCATGTGATCTCTGCTGTGATTGGACCATGGGCTCTATTCCACTCGTGAAGACAATATATGATTTTCGTAACTTAGCAACTCTTGTGTTATATGTTTTCATCGTTGTGATTTTTTGGTGGACTTCCGGAGCAGAGGAAAAACAGCTTTCTATTTTCATGGTGAGTTTCATTGTATCGTTGTTTTTGTTTCTGTATTCTCAACATCATTATCAAAATATATTAAACTCCAAAATATTATTTTTGAAGAATAAATTTAACGAAATACTTATTTTTCATGTTGACTTGTACTCTTCTTCAGTGTCATGTTGACACTGACTCATGCTCTTATTGAATGTCCTGTTGACACTGACTCATGCTCTTATTGAATGTCGTGTTGATATTGACTCGTGTTCTACTTAAATGTCTGATTACACTTACATATACTCTTCTTCAATGTCGTGTTTAACACTGACTCATACTCTTCTCCGCTGTCGTGTTGACACTGACTCCTACTCTTATTGAACGTCCTGTTGACACTGACTCATACTCTTATCGAATGTCCTGTTGACACTGACTCATACTCTTATTGAATGTCCTGTTGACACTGACTCGTGTTCTACTTAAATGTCTGATTACACTTACATATACTCTTCTTCAATGTCGTGTTTAACACTGACTCATACTCTTCTTCGCTGTCGTGTTGACACTGACTCCTACTCTTATTGAATGTCCTGTTGATATTGACTCGTGTTCTACTTAAATGTCTGATTACACTTACCCAATTTACAATGATGTATTATCATTCCTTACTTATAGTTACACGGTTGTAGTTACAAGTTTGAAGTACATTTCCATGCTTCGTAGTTAGAGTTACACAATTAATGTTTTTATTACAGTTTTCCCATGCTACAGGTTTATGCTTGCTTCATACTCATATGGTAGTATTACACTGTTGTAGTTACAAGAAATATGTTGTTTATTCTTTTTTATGTTGAATACCAGAAGTTAAGGAACTAATTTTCAGATGTGTTTTGTAAATCACTACTTAGTATTGTTCGTTTTGACATAGTCACCTACTTTTGTTTCCACAACTGCTCCCAGCCGACAGAGAATAGCATGCAGAACCCCATGCTCGGGAGGTAGAGAACCCGCTCGGCTATCACAAACCCTACAGGATAGAAGAGGTTTGATGCTGGCAAGAACGTTGCTGCCGTCAAGCCCACAGCCTGGAACATAACAAAAAATAAAAATAAAATATGTTGTGAAGACGCTTGTGGAAGAATTAAGCAAAAAGTGTTTTAAAAAGTCAAATGTTTAGAAATACGGAGCAATATGAATGTGCTTGTTTCCTTTTTTATACAAAAAAATGCTTATTTCTTGTCTGTATCACGTGATACTCATCGTTATTTTCAAGTTCATTACTTGCGAAAACTGGTTTTCTAAGACAGTATTTCATTAAGTTGACAATCGTTGGAATTTGAAACCATTTAGACAACTACGCCGTAACCGAGTTGCCACGAGGAGACTGACGTCAGTAACATGTTCAATGATAGAAAAAAAAATCCTTGATATCGATCGGGACTTTGATGAAAGTGGATTTTCGGTTTTCTCAATATTACATTTCTCAAGTACATTTCCATATTATTAATGTTGATATAAGGTCTACAAACAGTATTACGAATGAACGTTATTTAATTCCTCGCTGATTACTCAGCTAAGTGTAAAAAGTGTCATCAGCAAAGAATATGAAAAAGAATCCTGGATTCTAATTAGTAAGATCATTAACGGACGCCATAAAAAGTGAGAGACATTTAAGAAATCTTTTAAACTTGGTTTCTAACTCATCGCGATTCTCTTTTGTTTATGTTTAACGCTTTTTAATAAGATCTTGTGTATAGAAATATCCCTATTAGGTACTTTCTTCATATGAACTTCATACCCGACAGTTTCCATGATTTCTACACGTAATTATCAACTTTTCAAACTTTGATTTTTGTAATTCTCACATATCTTTCTCTGTTTCAGAAAGTTTTTATTCGCCTAGTGTTACGATTACTTCGTTCTCTTCTTTGAAAATTGTAAAAAACAATAACAACAACAACAAAAACATTATGTCTACAACTGTATCGCTCCAGTAAGTCACTAGGGGTTTTAATGACTTATAATGACAGTGGATTCGACATTGAAGAAGAGTCAGTGTCAACACGACGTTCAATAAGAGTAGGAGTCAGTGTCAACACGACAGCGAAGAAGAGTATGAGTCAGTGTTAAACACGACATTGAAGAAGAGTATATGCAAGTGTAATCAGACATATAAGTTGAACACGAGTCAATATCAACACGACATTCAATAAGAGTATGAGTCAGTGTTAACATGACATTCAATAAGAGTATGAGTCAGTGTTAAACACGACAGCGAAAAAGAGTATATGAACTATAATTGTTTAATTTCAACTCGTAACTACAACCGTGTAACTATAAGTAAGGAATGATAATACATCATT